CTTCCTATCCTCCTCCTCTTTCATCACTAATTACACCTAGCAACCAGCTTGTTTCCTATCTTACCGAGAAAACAGGCTACAGCACAAACTGCTCACCACCTCCTAACTCTCCACCATGACCCTCATCCAAATCCACTTCTGTTGTCCTTTCGTCAGAAGACAACACGGCCCTCATCTGACTGAAATCCCATTCACACACTGCGCCCTTGAAAACCCAGCTTTCTCGGGGATTTCGCTCTACTCAGTTTTCCCCTTTGCTCCTGTATCTTTAACCCTCGTCTGCCCAACGGCCTCTTTTCCTTTGCCGCTGTTGTCCCCCGAACCTCGTTCTTCGGCCCTCGTGTTCTCACTCTGCAGGGCACTCTGCCTGCCCACCTCACACGCTCCTGTGGTTTGTCATATCATGTATAAACGGACACTCCTAAACCTGAAATCCTAGATCTCCCTCTGAAATGTCAAGCTATCACTTTCAAACACCTACTGGTCAGTTCCACTTGGATGTCACATGTACATCTTAAACTTAAGATAGTCCTGTCTATTCACTTCCCCAACACTCCCTCCTCCTGTATTCCTTCCCTTACAGACTTCCCCTTACCCAGACCAAAACCTGGGAACCAACATCTATTTCTCTCTCTCCATTATATAAAAGGTCACATGCCTTGATAATTTTACCTGCTAAATCTCTTTTCAGGCCACGTGCAGTGGCTCACACCTGTAATACCAGCACTCAGGGAGGCTGAGGTGGGTGGATTGCTTGAGCTCACAAGTTCCAGACCAGCCTGAGCAAGAGCGAGACCCTGTCTCTAAAACTAGCTGAGTATTGTGGTGGAAGCTTATAGTCCCAGCTACTCGGGAGGCTGGGGCAGGAAGATTACCTGAGCCCAAGAGTTTGAGTTTGCTGTGAGCTGTGATGGCACAGCACTCTACTGAGGGCAACAAAATAAGACTCTGTCTCAAAAAAAAAAATCTCTCCAGTCCATAGTTTCTTTCTCCATGGTCTAACCCAATGCGAGCAACCTCATGTCTATGCCTACTACCACCTCAATACAGGAAATTATCACTTTTTAAAATTTGCTCTTTTTGCCTCAATCTCAATGCCCTCTAATTAATTTTTCCTGCCAATACTGTGGAGGCAATGTTACTAAACAGGCATTTAATCATATTACTCCCCTTAAAAAGTGGACTCCCTGTAATTTTCAGTATGAAATTTTACATGAAATACAGGCAGTTCCTGAGTTACAAACATCCCACTTACGTCCAACTTGCACTTACAAATGGGGGCTATTACAGGGATTAGGTTAAAAATGCCCCTGTTCCAACTGACATACAAATTCATCTTAAGAACAAACTTACAGAACTTGTCTCATTCATAATCCAGGACTGCCTGTACAAGCAACATGTACTACTTCTGCAGCCAGGAATGAATACCCCCCACCCAACTTCTGTCAGCTAGCTTCTACTCATTCTGCACAATTCAAGAATTAAGAAATTTAAAAAAAAAATAGGCTGGGTGCTGGGGTTCACACCTGTAATCCTAACATTATGGGTGGCCAAGGTGGGCGGATCGCTTGAGCTCAGGAATTCAAAACCAGCCTGAGCAAGAGCAAGACCCCATCTCTTAAAAAAAAAAAAAAAAAAAAAAAGCTCATGTTGTGGGTGGCACACACCTGAGTCCCAGCTACTTGGGAGGCTGAGGGAAGAGGATCGCTTGAGTCCAAAAGTTGGAGGCTGGCAGGTAAAGTCTTCCCTGGACTTGAGGACCCTTGGCAATCTGCAAGGGGAGATGCCATGGCACTCTACCAAGGGTGACAAAGTGAGACTCTGTCCCCCCAAAAAAAAGAGAATCAAAAACTTTCTCTGATCATATTTCAGGCTAAATTAGATTCTCCTCATCTCTGCTTGTAACTGAAAAGTAATCAAAGAGTTCTTATGAAATATGTAAATATAAAACTTCAGAGGTGACAGCCTCAAGAGGCCATTGAATATCAGTTACAGAGAAGTGACCACAGAAGGCTTAAAAATAAGCAAAAAAATTCCTACAAATATTCTCAAACAAATGAGCTAGTACAGTTATGCTAAAAAAAAAAAAAAGTTAATGCTGCTAAAGCAAGGAAGATTTATATTTAAAGACTAAGAAAAACAGAAGGAAAAAAGAGGAAGTTTATTGCTGGCATTATTTAATCATTCACATTTAGAAAATGCCAAATCTTATTTTTAATTTCAACTATTATAAAATGACAGAATAAAATTACAGCCACTACAAAAAAGAAAAATGTATAGTGAAGCATTAGCGCCATAAAGTTTCTTAAAAACTTGAAAGAGATTAAATATAAAATTTCTCAGTTCATTCTTGTGTACTTAAAAAGTACTGGAAAATGAGACACACATATTCAGTTAGAACAGTATTATATCAAGTTCTTGAGTAGCCTTATAAATAGTTCAGCATGGGTACTTTCCAGCCAATCAGTGAGAAGACACTGGGCAAGTGTTAATTAGCAGACCTTTCTGCAGATGAAAAAGCTTATACTCAGAAGGGCTCTGCCCTAAAGTCTACCTGACATCCAAACAGAAAAACACAAAAACTTACCAGTTCCTAAAGGAACAAAAGCCCAACCTTGGCATTGCTATTTATTTACCATGAAAAACTTAATTCAACCAAAATATCTATTGAAAGTCAAACCATCCTCCAATCATCACTATTAGACTAATTACTTCATCCTATTTTTAAAACTATAACATAATTGGGCGGCACCTGTGGCTCAGTGAGTAGAGTGCCGGCCCCATATACCAAGGGTGGTGGGTTCAAACCCAGCCCCGGCAAAACTGCAACAAGAAAATAGCTGGGCATCGTGGTGGGTGCCTGTGGTCCCAGCTACTTGGGAGGCTGAGGCAAGAGAACTGCCTAAGCCCAAGAGCTGGAGGTTGCTGTGACCTCTGATGCCATGGCACTCTATTGAGGGTGACAAAGTAAGACTGTCTCTAAAAAAAAAAAAAGAAAACAACTATAATATAATTAAGATCATTTTTCAATTCCTAAAGTAGAGCACCAAGCGTGTCACTGAGTCCAAATTCTTTCATTCAATAAATTATAAAGCATGTACCATCTACAAATTATGTATCAGAAATAATCACAACAAGAATTACTTTTATTTCACAGACTAGGCACAATTACTAAATTACTTTCTCTAGTCAATGTTTAAGTAAGAGAAAGAGCATTTATTACAGTCCTAAGATTAGGAATGAGTTCCAAAACTTTCTAAGTTACCTGTTTATAACTAAATGTATTTTCCAGTAGAAATAATGTAACAAATGGCAATTAAATCCCCAACATAGCCCATAAAGTTATATAATATAGAGAAACCACAGTTTTTATATGAATTTTTAGAACTAGGAATGGCTAGTTCTATAAATTATTGTTGACATTAAAAATAGGATTTAATATTTCCTGTTTTTCTTGATTTATCATTTTCTAAATGACAGCATTTCTCTCACAGTTTAAATGATCTAAATCTTTACACTGAAACAGCCTAATTCTTTAAATTTACTTGTTATAACTCTTGACAGATGTAAACAAAGCAAGTATCAAACCAAACTATTGACTATCTGAAATAAAAAACATTATAATGGCCATCTTTCCAGAAGTAACGCATCTGGCTTCCATCACTGGGTAATATTTACTCACTTTATTAAAGAAATAGATGGAATTTGTTGAAGACTGATAGAACCAAAGAACCAAAGCACTTAAAGAAAAATTAAGACTCCTCACAAGCCTAAAGTTCAAACTTTATCAGTCAAGGTCTAATTACAGAATCTTCAAAATAATAAAGGTAAAACATTTAAATAAGTTGAAATACGAAATTCCTTGGTGAATTTTTAGGGCAAATAGTAAACAAAATGGCAGGCAAACCAAACTATATTAAATAGGAATAAAAATAATTACTTTTACAAAATCACCAAAAAAATCTAATTTAAAAAATGAGAAAAAAGTTGAGCAGAGTGTTTTGAAAAAGTTAAGAGAACTAAAATGGCATTTCAAAAAGCCAATGGTAGCTCAATTTTTAAAATTTCAACTCAGAAACTATTTGGAGTATTATTAAAGAGGTCAAATTAACAATACTCCTTTGCTCTGACAACTTTCCCATACATAATACAATAAACCACTTTTTTTTTGAGACAAAGCCTCAAGCTGTTCCCCTGGGTAGAGTGCCATGGCATCACAGCTCACAGCAACCTCCAACTCCTGGGCTCAAGCGAGTCTCCTGCCTCAGCCTCCCAAGTAGCTGGAACCACAGGCACCCGCCAAAACGCCCGGCCATGTTTTGGTTGCAGCCGTCATTGTTGTTTGGCGGGTCCGGGCTGGATTCGAACCCGCCAGGTCAGATGTATATGGCCGGCGCCCTAGCCACTTGAGCCACAGGGGCTGAGCCACAATAAACCACTTTTTAACCCTACTTTACAGCAGAAATAAAACTTAAGCTCAAGGCGGTTATGACGCCAGAGATTAAATCATTTGGTTTGAGTCCAAATCCAAAGTTCCCACTAAAGTACTGCTCATAACAAGGTCCGGTATGATTTCTGTGGGTCTTCAATATCCGTCTTGAATTAAGCGGCTCTGATAGTTGATAAATACTTCATGGACCGATAACAGAGCTGAGCTGAATGAATGACACCCGTTAAGAAGGAAAGCTGTTTCTAATTTAGTGACATACTATAAACGTGAGAAGCAGAGACTTCGTCACACCCGGTGGATAATAGTTTTTAGGAGCAACAAATACCTAAGTTTTTCAGTTCTGGCTTGGCCAGAGAAGGCGAGTACTAACTGAATCGGTTCACGAACTTTATTTCTCAACCGAGAGGACAGGACAGTGGAGAAAATAAAAGCGCCTCTGCCCTCCCCAAACAACCCACCGACTCACAAGTCTGGAAAGGTGAGGGCCGAATGAGATATGAGACAAGAACGGAGGCTGAGGAGCCTTCTCCCGACGTCGCCTGAAGCTTACCTCCTTGACAGGTGGAAATTTTTTCTTGCATTCTAGTGACAAGGCCCGTAAGTCGCTCTGCATGTTCTCCAGCAGCTTCTTCACCGCCTCGGGGCTATTAGTGCCAGACATGGTCTTCCAAGGTCCGCGCCAATTTCCAAGAGGCACAAACAAGCTCCGACACTGTCAGCTCCTGGGGGCGACAGGCAGCTCCCCGCCCGCTCTTCTGGCCCGTAAGGCGCCCGCTGCTTGGGCTCCGCAGGGGTTCTGCCGGGCCTGGGCTGCGAACCGCGAGCTTGTCCGTGCGCCCCCCGCAGCCTCCCTCCCCGCAAGCCCTCCGGCTTCTCTCCGAGGCGACCCCGCAGCCGCCCCGCCCCGTTAGGCTCCGCCGGCTCTGGCCGAGGAGCCCACAAGGCGGGTAGGTCCTTCCGGGTGCTGCGGGGCCCGGCCGCACAGGGTGTCACCAGCCAACCTGGCAAGAAGCGTCAGCGTCGGCTCCCCAGGCCCCCAAGACTCATCGACGCCATTAGCCGAGTCACCCACAATTCCGAGCGCAGCCGGGACACGTCAGCCGCACTTCCGGACGCCGTGGGGCCCCCGCCCCCGCCACGGCCAATCAGGGCGCGAGCGGCCGGCGGGGCCGGGCCGGGGACGTGGCCGGGCTCGGGGCAGGCGCGCTTCCGGATAGGGAGCCTGCGCCCCAGCCCCGCCCCCGGCTTCCGAGTAGGCTGAGAGCAGAGTTTGCGACGTCTAGATTCGCCTGATCTTTCGTTACAAATCCTTGAACACAGCCCTTGGCCCTGTTTGATTGCATTTCAGTTTAAACAGTTTGCTTCCTTTTGGATTCATCTTAATTTGTCTTGTTCCTCTTCATTTCTGCCTCCTTGGATAGCCTATCTCTTGTTAATTTTTATTTGAAAGCTCAGCTGGTGCACATACTGCGAGTGGTCCCTTATTTTCCTAATTTTAAAATGGATCTGCCCTCTGCCCCGAATCCTCCCATCTCACTCACAGTGAAAACCAAAGTCCTTCAGTGCCTGATCGGGCCCTCCCCTGACTGTCCCGCCCTGTCCCCGCCTGACTCTGCTGGAAGGAGAGTTTCTGTCCAGTCGGGCGCTCCTCCTCCTCATTCTTGTTCCCGGCTGTATCTCCAGCGCCTAGAACAGTGCCTGGCATATAGTGGGTAATCAGTAAATATTTGTTGAATGAATGAGTATCCTACTAAAAATTTCTTATTTGAGGCTCAAATAAGAAATGGATATAAAAGCATTCACTAGGACGGAAGTGCCAAATAATTTACGTGAGATGAAAGCCAAACAGAAAAATCTTCATCGGTGCTACTCCCAAGATCCAGCTTAGTCCACTTTTGCCCTTACGTTTTGCGACTGCTAAGCAGGAAGCAGAGAAAGATAGAGAGGTACGTAGGGTAGAGGTAGGAGATGAAGAAACCAGCACTTTAAAACAGCTAAGTTGATGGCACCTTTACAAGATGAACCCTGAGATCACGGGTGGGGGCCACTCTTTGGCCGTAAAATGAGAAAATGTTGTACCACACGTACTTTGTAAACTAAGTAATTTCATTTTTTGTCTTCTGATAAGATGGCAAAGCAAGGATGGATCAAGGTGGCAAATGAGGTGATAGTGGTGAGCTCCTAGAACAGTAATTTGGATCATTTGTGCCTATTACAACACTTCACAGCGCCTATGGTGTAAGCTTTAAGTATGAAAACCTGTGAATTTTTTTTGAAAAAAAGTTCAAGATGGAATATATATGACAGACATTACTCTTGGGTTCCAGGGTGCTTTAAAAAATGATCCTTTAATAATTATCCCAGTAATGTAGGTCAAGATCTCAGCCCTTGTCTTTCACTGCATAGCCAACATTTCATTTGAATTTTTTACTGGTAACTTTTTTTTTTTTTTTTTTTGAGACAGGAGCCTCAAGCTGTCCCCCGGGGTAGAGTACCGTGTCATCACAGGTCACAGCAATCTCCAACTCCTGGGCTAAAGCGAGTCTCCTGCCTCAGCTTCCCAAGTAGCTGGGACCACAGTTGCGCGCCACCTTACCCAGCTATTTTTTGGTTGCAGCGGTCATTGTTGTTTGGCGGGCCCAGGCTGGATTCGAAGCCGCCACCTTAGGTGTATGTGGCTGGCGCCTTAGCCACTTGAGCCACAGGCGCTGAGCCTGGTAACTTTAACATGATTGACTCAAAATATCTTCAGAGTCTTTTACATCTCAATATATGGAGTTGAGGAAATGCAATTGGAATTCGTTAACTAAATATAATACTTACAATGATTTGAAAAACTTTTAAAAAAGAAAAAAAGCAGAATCTCTCTTTTGCCCAACTAGAGTGCAATGGTATCATGGTAGCTCACTACAACCTCAAACTCCTGGGCTCAAGAGAGCCTGCAGCCTCAACCTCCTGAGTTGCTGGGACTACAGGCAAACCACCATACCTGGCTAATTTTTCTTTTCTTTCCTTTTTTCTTTCTTTTCTTTTCTTTCTTTCTCTCTTTCTCTCTTTCTTTCTTTCTCTCTCTTTCTTTCTGTAGAGATGTCTCATTCTTGCTCAGGTTGGTCTTAAACTCTTTTTTTCTTTTAATTGTTTTTTATTAAATTATAACTTTGTACATTGATCCATTTATGGAGTTCAGGGTACTGCTTCAATATACAATGTGAAATGCTTACATTGAACTAAGTAACATGTCCATCACAATTATACTCATATCTTAATAGTTTTGAAATGTACCATTTCATCATGCACATTAGGTGAGGTCCCCTGAATACCCTCCTTCCTCCCATTTTACCCCTCCCCTCCCCTCTCTCTCCTCTTCCCTTCTACTTTCTGGACTATAGTTAAGTTTTGCCTTTCATATGAGTGTGTAGGTGGTTATATATTGATTTCATAGTAGTATTGAGTACATTGGATACTTTTTTCCCCCATTCTTGAGATACTTTACTAGGAAGAATATATTCCAGCTCCATCCAGGTAAACATAAAAGATGTGAAGTCTCCATCTTTTTTAAGGCTGCATAGTATTCCATGGTGTACATATACCACAATGTGTTAATCCAATCATGGGTCAATGAGCACCTGGGTTGTTTCCATGTCTTGGCTATTATGAATTGGGTCTGCAATAAACATTCTGGTGCAAATGTCTTTGTTGTAAAATAATTTTTGATCATCTGGGTATGTACCTAGTAGAGGAATTGCAGGATTGAATGGTAGGTCTACTTTTAGTTCCTTGAGTGTTCTCCAAACTTCTTTCCAAAAAGGTCATAGTAGCTTGCATTCCCACCAGCAGTGTAGAAGCATTCCCTTCTCTCCACATCCACACCAACATCTGTAGTTTTGGGATTTTGTGATGTGGGCTAATCTTACTGGAATTAGATAATATCTCAAAGTGATTTTGATTTGCATTTCTCTGATAATTAAGGATGATGAGCATTTTTTCATGTGTTTGTAGGCCATGCGCCTGTCTTCATCACAGAAGTTTCTGTTCAAGTCTCTTGCCCACATAGAAATAGGGTCATTTATTCTTTTTTTATTGATTAGTTTGAGTTCTCTGTAAATTCTAGTTATTAGACCTTTGTCAGACACATAACCTGCAAAAATCTTCTCTCATTCTGAAGGTTGTCTGTTTGCTTTACTGACTGTGCTCTTGGCTGTGCAAAAGCTTTTTAGTTTGATCAAATCCCAGTAATGTATTTTTGGTGTTGCTTCAATGGTCTTAAACTCTTCAGCTCAAAGGATCTTTATGCCTCAGCCTCCCAGAGTGGTAAGATTAGGCAGGTACTACCTAAGGTATAACAATTTAATTATAGATATGACCTGTACTGAATGTTTTGTAAATTTCTTTTTAAAAAAATAGCTTTCTATGTACATATGCCAAGAGAGATTGCACTCTCCCAGAAACAATGCATGGCTTTATGCCAAAACCAAGCAAATTACCAAAGGTAAAAATAAGTTTTTATTTTACAAGTTAGGAAATCAACTAAACTGTCTTGGCTCCTGTAAAACAGTGGTTACAGCTCCAGCCACATACACCAAGGCTGGTGGGTTCGAACCTGGCCCAGGCCAGCTAAACAACAATGACAACTGCAACAAAAAATAACTGGGCATTGTGGCAGGTGCCTGTAGTCCCAGCTACTCCGGAGGCTAAGGCAAGAGACTCGCTTAAACCCAAGACTTTGAGGTTGCTGTGAGCTGTGATGCACTCTACGCATTCTATAACATTCCACTAAGGGTGACATAGTGAGACTCTGTCTCAAAAAAAAAAAAAAGAAATCAACTAAGCTTTGAAGTTAGCATTCCAATAAGTAGAATAATTTCTTTTTAGGAAGCAAAGACAAATATTTAAATACATACATTTGTACTCAGTGTTTCAAGAAATACTTACCAAATTGTAGCACACCTGTAAATGTTGATATGGTTATCAAACTGTCCTCTGTGGCTACAAATTGTCGTCATTGAAAATTACATTAATAGGTGACACCCATAGTTCAATGGGTAGGGCACCGGCCACATACACTGGGGCTGGCAGGTTTGAACCCGGCCTATACCAGCTAAAAAACAACAATGACAACTGCAACAGCAACAAAAATAGCCAGGGTTGTGGCAGATACCTGTAGTCCCAGCTACCTGGGAGGCTGAGGCAAGTGAATGGCTTAAGCCCAAGACTTTGAGGTCACTGTGAGTTGTGACGCCACAGCACTCTACCCAGGGTGACAGCTTGAGATTCTGTCTCAAAAAAAAATTTACATTAATAAATGCCTGCTCAAATTAACCTTTTCTTACCATAACTAATGTTTCCCCAGTGTTGTCATGTCATAGTTAAACCTCAGGCTTTGAAGTCAAAAAGCCCTAAATTTGACTCAGCTCTTTTGGTTACTACCTGGGTGACTCTAGAAAGTTATTTAATGGCTCAGTGCCTATGGCTCAAATGGCTAAGGTGCCAGCCACATACACCTAAGGTGGCGGGTTCGAATCCAGCCTGGGCCCGCCAAACAACAATGACGGCTGCAACCAAAAAAAATAGCTGGGCATTGTGGTGGGTGCCTGTGGTCCCAGCTACTTGGGAGGCTGAGGCAGGAGACTTGCTTAAGCCCAGGAATTGGAGGTTGCTGTCAGCTGTGATGCCATGGCACTCTACCCAGGGGGACAGCTTGAGGCTCTGTCTCAAAAAAAAAAAAAAAAAGAAAGAAAGTTATTTAATGATTTATTCTCTATTTCCCCAGGCTAATTTGGCCTAATCCAAGTGTATTCCTGAATTTAGCACCATGGGAATAAGACAAGCTGTTGCCTAGGTATCTGTGAAACCCATGGTGTCAGTTGCCCTTGTACGCAAACTTGTAACTCCAGAGCTCTTATCTGAGATCCAAACAAGAGTGTCCAACTGCCTGTTGGAGATTTTTACCTGTCCGTCTCATGGGCACCTCCTATTCCTTCTGCAAAAGGAGGTGGTCCTCTTCATACACTGCCTTTCTCAGAGCAAGGCACCACCATCCACCTGCCTGCCCAAATCAGGGAACGAAGAGTCAGACTG